TGTGTGTGTGTGTGTGTGTGTGTGTGTGTGTGTGTGTGTGTGTGTGTGTGTGTGTGTGTGTGTGTGTGTGTTGGGCGGGGTATGTGCATGAGGGAGTAAGACTAAGAGATCAATGCGCTGTTTTGTGTTTGGAGGTGAACTTGGGAGAGCACACATAGCAAAGTCTGCCCACACACAACCACAAAACCACACACACACACCAACAATTACAATCACCTTGAGCAGATATTAAGACTTCAAATCGAAAACGATGTTGAAAGCGTGTTGCATCACGCACATGAAAGAAAACTTCAAAGTTCGCTTGTTTTGTTTCATTAGAAAAATTTGGCTCAAGGACACGCTGTCACACATGGCGTTATGACGGCAGCATGTAACTGTGAGCTGTAACCTCCGATGTCTCGCTAGCACAAATAACAACACACATTTTATCAACACAGTCCACAGAGCCTACCTGTCTTCGAGGTAATTGCTTCGGCTCTGTTTTTGCACATCTGCTGCGACAGGGAGCTGCATGCTAATTGCAGCAGGTGCAAAAAGGCAGGGCAGGGGTAAACCTTATTTAGTGGACGGGCTTCTGGACTGAGCTGAGAAACATTTTATGTGTCTAGAAACTACTGTACGAAGTGGGCTGAGGTTTATCCCTTTGGGGCAGCGCAGCAAGCTTTTGCAGTCCCTCTGGCTTCTATTACTTTTCACTTGTTTCTAATGTAATTCTCTTCTTCCCTCCCTCTTACTTTTGTGTCCCCCTGTATCTTACATCCTAGTCTAACGCTGGTCTTTATCTCTTTGTCTAACCTACTTCTATTTTGGTTAATTCCTGTTTTACTCTGACAGTTAGTTTTCTCATATCTTCTTTTTGTTTTAGTTCCCTTCCCTCCTTGTTATTGTTTGCTGTCCTTATTAGCTTCATCTGTGTTTGACTGCTTTCACCTCCACCCAACCAGGCCCCTGTGTAGTCTTGCGTTTCCCTTTGTCCTTGGCAGATTGTATATTTTCCTCCCACGTGCTTCAGTGTTTCTCATCTTAATCTTCAGTAATGTGGACCATCTGGATTTTAGTTTATCAGCTTTTTAATAAAGCTTGCACTATCTATGTCCACAAAGCCTGCTTCTAAAACTCCTTTACAGTTACTTTAGGCACTAGTAGACTGTCAATTTTAGTTGTACCGGCACAAGTTCTACTTTGAAGGTGAACGGAGATTACATCGAAGGCATTAACTTGCAAACTGTGGCAATCTGGTGACAACCAAAGCAACTGCAAGGAGGTTATTAGTGTAGTACTGTATAACTGTCTGTGACTATTGTTACACTGTTAACCTTTTGGAATGTCACAGAGTGCACACTCTTCTCTAGCAACCGGTGTTTATCAGGCTGACACAATTCACTCTCTAGATCAACATTAAAGGGCTTTAGTAGTTGATTTCACAGTAACTACTAGCTTCTAGCAACCTCCAGCGACTAATCACATCATACTTATAAAAATGACCAGTGCCAAATTGTCAGCAACTCGTCTCTGTGCCTGTGTCAGTATGACCTCACTTGTCCTTTAGGTGTTTTGTATTGAAACAAGTAACATGCTGCTTTTGGAAATGAAGGCATTCGAGGTTTTAAAACCCCAAACGAGTATCAGCAATGCTAAATGCTAATAGCTATTCTCTGTGCTCGCTTTATAAACAACATCTTTTGCGTGCTAACCAAAATGTTGCTTCTAGAGAGGCTGCTCCCTGATATTGTTGCCATAAAGATAAAAGTTAATATGTGCAGGAGTGCTCTGGATCCGATTAATATCTTTGTACAAACACCCCAAACAGTCAGTTTTGATTCAGTTTCATAAATACACGCAGTGGTACATTTTTACATATTCATTGCCAGTTTTGTCCACTGTGCAGTGGTATTATGGGCTATTTGTTAATAATAATTTTTTTAAAAAGGATTTATGTAATTCAAACTCATTAGTCATGTAAAATGCCACGTCAGGAGAAGGAAATTCAACATAATCATCATATATCACAGGCTCTGGTCACTTATCGTACCTTATTGAAATATTAATGTGGAGAACAGCTACAGGTGTGAATATCGTGCTGCTTCAGGCCTCTGAACAATAATCCACTTGTGGGCTCTAAATGCAGCTCTGTCTCTGCGCTACTCATCAGTTGTTGTGTGAAGTGACTGACGTGACACTTTTCTTTAAAAGCAAAGCTGTTGCAGTTCGCTTGTTTTGCTCCTTGGTTGACAGTAGAATGCCAGTAACCACAAAGACTGATACTTTGTTTCTTAGTGACTCTATTTGTCATTCAGCACTAAACATTACCATTTACCCTTTGTTGTCAAGGATGGATCCTAACAGTTTAATCTCATAATTGGTGTATATAATTATGTCCAATTTTTCTAATTTCTTTCCTTTAAAATGTTTGATTTCAATCAAAGTGTATTTTATTTTTAGAGCACCAGTTCTCAAGTACAGTTATCTTTGCTCACTGCGATCTGCAAGAATGAAGCCAATGTATAGCAATGCTTTTTATGAAATCTTTTGTTTATGATGGCGTTTGTAAAACCTCTTATTTATTGCCAGTTCCTTGAATGGTGTCAGTGAAAAGCTGGGATGTCAATGGGCCTATAATTTCACCAGAAATAACCAGAACAGAGCCAAAGGGTCCACCCTGCATTTTCACCAGAAAATAGCTCTGTTTGACACAGACTATAAGACTTTGACAGTTTGAGTCTCGGTGTTGAACAAATGGTTGAATAACTCATGTCACTGTTGTAGCTAACTTTTGAATGGATAAACAAACCAGCTAAAAACAAACCCACTCAGATTGATTTCAGGGTGCTTGAATTGGCTTAGAAACAACTGCATAGATGGGTTATATTTGTGATGTCAAGTGGTTTCTTTTCTCAACAACTCCGAGAAAGATGTCAACATGCAGTGATACAGAATACTTTTTTATGTATATTTTTAATCTGTTTAGGAACTCCACATACTGCATGAAAGTGTCCATGTCGATGACCGTGGAAGAGAGCGACGAGGGAAAATGCTTCAGTAGCAAAATCCGCCATCTGGAGAAAGCTGAGATAACCCACAGCAAAATGATCCACTGTCCTGATATAGAAGACTATTTGGCTCCATATAAACAACCGCAGATGACCTGGTACAAGGTATGGCATGAACACAGAGAAGTTTTTATGAGTCTTCTGTTTAAGGTTGCGACTGATCTATTCTGCCTATGTCTCCTGTTAGGAGTGTGAGCTGGTTGAATGGAGAAGCTCCATCATTGTTAATACCACACATATTTGGATACCTGAGATAGAGGAGGGAGACGGGGGAAATTACACCTGTGAATTGCAGTATGGATCCAGATTGGTGCGAAGGACAACGCAACTCAAAGTCACAGGTAGGACATAATGAATGGATGGAGATGGGATACAGTCCAAGAGACTGGTCACTAGTCCACTGGCAACGTTCGGTTGCTTTTGGTGTATTGCCAAGCAGTTGGCACTTGATTTCTAGAGGTTGCTATTGTTGAGGATACTGCACTTAAAACTGTTATTCTGTTATTGCTTTGCTAACACATTGCTGCGGTTGCCTGTATTTTCCATAGAAGACCACGCACTAACTGCTGAGCAACGGGAAAACTGAAAAAGTGCAACACAAACTGGAAAAGGAGAATGTTCATAAAAATGGCGCCTTACTCTGAAACCAACATAGTTTAAAGGACACACCTTTTACTTTGAAGGCAAGGGTCTCCATTTCAGGTTTGCATTGCTCTTTTCATAGTTTCACTACAACTAGGGGCAATGGCAGCCATGGACCCCCAGAAAGTACTTGTCAATGGGTCAGGAAATAAACTGATTTGTAATTACAAGAGAGTCACTGACTGACCTCAGGTGTACTTGGCTAGGGCTTTAGCAACTCAAACACTGCCAACAACCTCCAGCATCCACTCACAACATTCACTCATTTTTCCCTTGTGACCAGTGGCTGTCTGGCAATCACCAGTTAGCCTCTAGGCTTTAGGGTTAGGCCTCTAGATCTAAAGGCCTGGGCATATAGAGTTAAGAATATACATCAAATTCTGTCAAGAAGACTTCTGCCTGGAAGGACTGCAATGAGAGAATGGACAAGAACCAAGAATGCAGCTACTGGGTATCACAATCATTTTCCAACCTCTAACAAGTATACAGCCGATTTGTTAAGTGTATCGTCCTGAATATGTTCTCCTGACTGAATTTGGTCCGTTCACAGCATCCTGCCATTGATTGCATTTGTCCCTAACCATCAGGAACCCTCACGTTGACTTTTATCGAGTAAAAAGATGAGGGTTCATCCTCCAGCTTCAATGTGTTTATGTAGTGCTGACATAGCTGTGTCGCTAGTGATCACGTAGCACATCATTATATACCAGCTAGCCCAACTTCAGTAACCCTACAAATGTTGGAAGTGATAGCAGAGCTGTACGTTTGAATTCCATTCAGAAATCTCTCAGTCAGAACATGCTATATCATGTTTAGGTGGAAACTAGCAAGCTAACTTCCTGCTAACGTCTAACTCCGTTAAATTTAATAAATTCTGTTTTCATGGATGCCTGGATGTTAAACTTAATTGTTACTAGAACTGAGCGTGATAGAGCATCACACATTAAATGAGCAACAGTGGTGAGAAATAATCAAAAGCAATATGGACTATTGAATTTGGTTGTAGAGAATATAACGGATGGGACGGGCAGGGATATATATCACTAAAGCTTTGCCATCTACTGCTTTGCAGTGCCAGCATGTGACTGGAAAGGCACCGTGTGCCCGTTGGGTCAGGAATACATAGTATTTGGTATTCTACTGGACATATTTTCTATTGCATTTTTTTTAAGAATTGTAGAATTGATGAATTACCGTTCCATGGATTAGAGGTCAGCTGACTACCATCAGAGAAAGCAAGTGGACTTAAAATATGGTCAGAATATGTACTCTGCTTCCTTTTAATATACAATGGATCCCTCAGTGACTCCAGAGCATCCATTACTTTGACAGATCCCTCGACTCAGCAATACATCATTCATCATTACTACAGCACTTTTAAAGTTTCTTTGAATGCACATTTCAGATCTACGCTAAAACAACGGGGTACATTCCTGGTATCATTTTGTATATTTGCATTAAACTTTGAATATTTAAAGCTTCAGTGGCTTTTGACTTAACTTTCACTCAGCAGAAACATCTGCTCCGTGCTGTTATGTCTTTAAGCTTACTTCCATCTGCGCTTTTGTTATGTGTGTGTGTGTGTGTGTGTGTGTGTGTGAGCGAGTGTTTTGGGAGGAGGGTTGCAGTCCTGCTTGTGTTTTGCTGTTGTGTCATGTACCATGTGCAGTCGGTCTTTATGAGCGACACACTGTGCTACTTTTGTCCTAGCACACATTCTTAAACGTGCGCCTTGATTTGCTTCGTACATTGAGATATTATTTGCATTCTGACACTCGTATACACACGAAGGAAACAGTCTAGAACACTTACTGCTCCATTTTACTCATATTTTGAATCCCAGAACCAAATTCAGTGTCCTTCTCAACTCGCACTTCTTGCTATAGTTCAGATGCACAGCTTCCTCTTGCAGTGTAGGGCTGAACAGGCAGTACTACATTTCTTGTGTTTGGTGTTGTTGAACGGGTTAGTTTCTATTGCACCCCCTTGTTGAATTGTCACATTGGACCATATCTTAGGTTGTGACAAACAGAGTTTAAAGGTGAAATCAGATACGAGCCTTTTACTCCAGCTTGAAGAAAAAGAGTCATATCTGTGTTGCAAGACCTCAACATATGTTAAACAAAGGAAGTTAAAAATTCATATTTTTGATGTGTTGTCTGAAACCCAAATAAAACATACAAGAAGAAGGATGTTAAAAATGATGCCAGTGAGTATTTTATCACTGTATTAAACTTACAAAGCCATGGCTAAAGATTTTTTTCAAAACTATCTATACTTTCCCAAAACATTATGATGCTTTTTTTTAATTAGCTCACAGTAAATGAAGTTTGGTGCACATTGGTAAGATATTTCGCGTTCCCCGATACACATTAGAGTAGTCATCAAAGGAATCTGACTTTCTTTGTATACTGGCTGTTTTCACTGTCATTTTCAGTCCAGTTCCTGCACTTGATATTTGTTTGCTAAGCCTTTTAACACTATCCTATGAATAATTCAAGCATAAAAAGGTAACTTAAGGGATGAACCAATGTTGTGTCTACACATAACATACAACCAATCACTCTGTCAGAGAACCAATTTTAGGTTGTACATTTAGATAATTTGTTATTAGCATCCTGTTAGAAAAATAATTCTTCAGTTGAAACTTTGAAAATTTTCAAAGATAACACAGTCTGACATAAAATATTATGTTTTGGATCAACAAGATGATTACCAAAGAGCTATTAGCTAGAAACATGTCTTTATGATGTGCAGTGTGTAATTACAAAATTAATGAAACTGGACAAAAGAGAAACTGTCTACAGCACACGAACAACATCTGATGGTCATGTCCTTTAGAAATAAGAATGAATCCAGCAAAGACCCGACACAGGACCTGAGAGATGCATCTGGCACTTCAGTTGATCCATCTAATGTTCACAAAATTGGTCATAACTTAAAATATTGATAAAACTGAAAAACTCTTGTTGGCTTATATAATGTATTTAACTATATTTTTACATGTTTCAGTAAATCTCTGCATCTATTTGCAAATTGTTCTAGCAAAGCATAAAAATAAATGAGGGTTGGCCAAAAGCGTTCTCGTATATCCTGGTTACACAGTGTAGACAGAAAGGTAAAACAGCTTTGATTATTTCCCCCAGATTCTGATCGAGCAGACGTGAGACAGCCTCGTGTGAGAGTGGTCTGACTGTGGCCATAACCAGGGATGGCCTGTATAAGATATACTACTATATTGTTGTGGTAAAAGCAGGCTCACTCATGCAGAAAGAGCATTCAGGAGACATCTTGCATAGAAGCATTTATTGCAGCATGCTCAGCCGAGGAGAACAGAATGCAGTATTATGGGTTGATGTAAAGGACCTGTCCACTGTGGGAGCTATCCTGATAAAAGCGCACATGTACTTTCATTTTTATTTATTCACTTCTTGACACAGACAGTGCCCACTGATAAACTGAAAAAAATCACATATAATAAAAATGAGTTAGTAGTCCTATAACCTCGACTTCATTGTCCCTGGCCAGTTCTTCAAACTGCAACCTGAAATTGGAATAAATTTGGGTGCATTGCTCATTCCTCTCTGCCTTTGTCACTCTCACAGAAGCAGCTATGTGGCAGAGAAGACATGCTAACGCCAGGTTTTTTTTCCTAACAGGCTCTTTGGTGTCTCCAGACAGATGCTGAGTCATTACACCGTTCCTCTATAACCCTGCCTGAGAGATCATTTCTCCACATATACCATAAGACAGCTCAGGTTTTCTCTATGGATAAAAGTAAATACAAAGCTTACTGTGAAGTTTTCAAATATTTCAAGGAAACGTAAAGTAAGTTCTGAAAAAGAAACCTATTGCTAACACAACACAGTTTATGAAGAATATCAGAGAATTCCAGCTTGACTGAAGTTTAGTTAGAATGAACGACGTGTAAAGGAAAATTGAGACCTACCACTGTTGCAAGGGATTTTTTTAAAATATAAATGGTGAGATTTAGTTAATTAGCTAATATATAAACAATCAAATAACAGTGAGTCCACAGGAGCAAAACAAAAAAAATTACCAGAACGTTTGCTGTAAGTAACATCATGTAGTTTCACTGATCTGGGACAATAAAGGTCAAAATGGGCTTTATGTGGCCCACGATGTAAAAAGAGTTGGACATTCCTGGTTTACACATTTATACAACAGACTTTGTTTTCTCCTCTGCAACAGGCTCTGTTTCCTCACTTTAAATATGTTGTTTTGTGTCACTAATTTAACACAGTTTCCTAAAAGAGGATGAGGCTACAGCTCGTGTAAAAATATGCAAAACATGTCATTTCATTATTCTGAAAGCACATAGTGAGGTACATTATTATTATTTAATAACTGTGACATTTCTCATAAGAGATATGACAGGTCCTGCTGGAAGAATTGTTCATAAAGAATTTTTCTTTATTACGTTTCATGCCAGCTTAGGCTGCATGCTGTTTAGATTTTACCAGCTGTTTGGTTTTATTTTTGCCTGCATCAGATAAGTTACCTAAATGAGCAGGGAGGCAGACTAACGTATGGGGATAGACAAACTCAGTGATGCAATGTGAGCATGAAGCTTTGTGGGTTTATATATGTGTCAGCTGCATGCTGCACATGCCAACTGCTATCAGGCCAATTTATCTTGCCCCATTTAGGAGGTTAGAGTAACTCTTTGACACTTATT